TGCCACAATTTATCAAGACCTTGAAGCAGAAATGAGGGAGAAACACCCAGAAACACCTCATACGTGACGCAAGTATAAGTGGCTTTCCTCGCCATTAATGTTGGATAACACGCCTACGTCTCCCATTAAAAATAACGGCTAGTGTGTTGGCTGAGATACACACAAACCTAACAACATCCGTTGCCATGATTTTTTGAATTAAGTAAAATGAAACGCAGAAAAAAAATTACATTTTAGTCACATAACATCGGTTAATGGAAACGCCGTCATTTCACAACAATTTAAAAGAAACGCAGCTAATGTCTACCTAAACCAGCAGCCTCCATAACATATTCTGGCACAGGCCTTATCTGTGACCCAAAACAGTAACACTTTACTTGAAGGGGTGTGCATAAAACTGACGTGACGCCTTCATAACCATGACAGGACACATGTTATGAAGTAGGGTTTATGCATGTTTATGACAACTGTCATTAAGTGTCATTCACTCAATTATGACATTTTTAATGCAAATATGACATTGTTTGAGATGTCTTCGTCATGACACCTTGACATAAACCAATACTTCATAACCTGTCAGTTTGTTATGACAACTTAATATTACTAAGACAACACAACTTGTCATAAACATGACATAGCAGATTAATGATCAAACTTATGAAACCACCTAGCTTTATTGGTTAACATTACATTAAACTGTCATGTGGTTGGTTTTGACATTGGCTGTCATGAGGCCATTACAACTGTCATGAATATTTTTCGTGTCCTAAACTACAGAGGTAAAAATTGAATTAAAATTGAATTTATGACATTGTCATAAAAATGTCATAATGGCCTCATGACAGCAAGCGATTGAGGGAATTGAGCGAATGACACTTAATGACAGTTGTTATAAACATACATAAAACCTCCTTCATATTCATGTCATGTGTCCTGTCGTGATTATGAAGGTGTCATATGCACACCCCTTCAAGTAAAGTATTACCGACAAGACTATATATAGACTATTATTTATATATTTTGAAGACCAGAGACCAAGTTGCACACACAAGCCACAATACTTGGTACACAAAACACGGTAACGATCAATGGATCATTTCTGAGTCTGAATGAACTCCAGACTTCTTAAAACAGCAAGTTAAACTTAGTGAAACTGTGAAAAATGCAACCTTATGAATTATTAATAACTATATATTATTTCTACTTCGGGATTGACACTTGCCCATGGGGACTAAATAATATATGGTTATTTTCTGCAAGTTCAAACATTTTGAAAATATTAGTGCAGGCTGAAGGGTTGGTCCCAGGCACACACTTCTACGAAACACATATTCTTTTGTCAAAACATTGAGAACCGGTACTCACCCCTGGAGTATTGGATAATGTCTATCCTACCACAGATCCGCCTTATGTTGGAGGTTTGCTAGTTTTCTAGTTGTGCTGTAGCTGCAGTATGTCTCTTACGTCTCTTACGTGCAGCTCCTCCTCCTCCACTGTCATAATCTCAATAAATCCTCTTTAAGTTTACTTTGAGAGTTGTCTTAACTTAAATATATTAAACAATTAGACAGATCCTGAAGCAGCTTATCTAGCCCAACCTACCACACAGTATTGTTTTTAAACCACACAGTATTATATTCACTCACCCAAAGGATTATTAGGAACACCTGTTCAATTTCTCATTAATGCAATTATCTAATTAACCAATCATGCATTTAGGGGTCATGACAATCTCCTGAACTCCAAACTAAATGTCAGAATGGGAAAGAAAGGGGATTTAAGCAATTTTGAGCGTGATATTTCACAATCTGCTCAGTTACTGGGATTTTCACACACAACCATTTCTAGGGTTTACAAAGAATGGAGTGAAAAGGGAAAAACATCCAGTATGCGATGGCAGTCCTGTGGGAGAAAACGCCTTGTTGATGCGAGAGGTCAGAGGAGAATGGGCCGACTGATTCAAGCTGATAGAAGAGCAACTTTGACTGAAATAACCACTCGTTACAACCGAGGTATGCAGACAACACACACAACCTTGAGGCGGATGGGCTACAACAGCAGAAGACCCCACCGGGTACCACTCATCTCCACTACAAATAGGAAAAAGAGGCCACAATTTGCAAGAGCTCACCAAAACTGGAGAAAATGTCGCCTGGTCTGATGAGTCTCGATTTCTGTTTTTGAAGAGTCAGAATTTGGCGTAAACAGAATGAGAACATGGATCATCATGCCTTGTTCCCACTGTGCAGGCTGGTGGTGGTGGTGTAATGGTGTGGGGATGTTTTCTTGGGACACTTTAGTGCCAATTGGGTATTGTTTAAACGCCACGGCCTACCTGAGCATTGTTTCTGACCATGTCCATCCCTTTATGGCCACCATGTCCCCATCCTCTGATGGATACTTCCAGCAGGATAATGCACCATGAATCATTTCAAAGTAGTTTCTTGAACATGTCAATGAGTTGACTGTACTAAAATGGCCGCCACAGTCACCAGATCTCAACCCAATAGAGCATCTTTGGGATGTGCTGGAACGGGAGCTTCGATCCCACAAATCTCCATCAACTGCAAGATGCTATCCTATCAATATGGGCCAACATTTCTAAAGAACGCTTTCAGCACCTTGTTGAATCAATGCCACGGAGAATTAAGGCGAAAGGGGGTCAAACACAGTATTAGTGTGGCGTTCCTAATAATCCTTTAGGGGAGTGTATACATATACTCATTCTGTGTGCTTTACATCACTTCATCCGTCACTTATCGTTGGCTACCAAATAATCTGTTAGTAATCAGATTGAAAGGGGTAATTAATTCATTCCTTTTCTAATCCAATCAAGAGGACATACTTGATCAGATTGAAAACTGATACTGGAAAGGACTGCGCATGTGCAATGACGTATGACGCACGAACTGCAACAGTTGTTAAATTAAATGTCATAATTCTCCCACCACTCATCGTCTGAGAAGTGGAGCAGAACTACTTAGTTACACTTTATTTGGAGCGTGGGAAGGGGTGCTTTTACTGATGGATAAATATAAGCAGCACGGCACAACGGTTCATGTGCTCGTCGTCTCCTACTCAGGACCCGAAATATCCGATCACAATATCATACTTGAATTCAATAAGCCCTTCCAGCCTGTTCTCACGTAAATGAGTCGCTATAACACGTATTGTTGTGTAATTTATAAGCGAAAACGTGCATTTTCGCGTGCATTTGATACGCAGTTCATTTGCGTGTAATACACACGCACCCCACACCACTAATTCTACCCAAACGTATAATACACACCACTACTAAACCTACCCTAACCAACCCATGCGTATCCTATGCACGTAAAAACTCACTTAGCGTATAAATTACACTACAATACACATGTGTGTATTAAAGACGCAATTAGTGTAATGGTGTTGGCCCGTTTTTTTGCACAAATGCTTGTAAATGCAGTCTGCATGGCTATAGGTGCTTGATTTTATACACCTGTGGCAATGGGTCTGATTAATACACATGAATGTGATCATTGATAATATCGTGTGCCAAAACTTTTGTTCATATGGTGTGTAAATCATGCAATATTTGAATATACAGTACGGTTGTGCAAATGAGATTTGAGAGCTAATAAAGGCCAGGGTTGACAGAGAATATTAACAAAAATGTTGGCCTGTTCCTCACATTAAACCACAGTGTATGAGTCAACATATGAGTCATATGGGTTTCCTTTGTGGAGCTTGACTGCTACTGATCACTGTACTGTACGTTTCTTTGTCTGAAAAGAAAACAGTGAATAGCTTTTTGAAAATTTGTTTGGAAAAGCATGAGGGTGAGTATATGAGTGACAGGTTTTTACTCAATTGAGTCATGTGCCAATAATTAATACAATAGTTGAGACTGAGAGAACTTGACATGCATCATGATGCCTTTACTTTCTATTAAATTCTCACAGCTCCTTTTTTTTTTTGCAATGTAAAAACCGAATGTGGTTGAAGGTCCATGCATCTTTTGTTGTTTCATCTTGTTTATTTACTACATGAACAATTCTTAATTTAGCCAATAAATTCATCAAGGCAGCTGCAGATTATTTGTTCAACAAAATATTTGGGGTAAAAAAGTAAATTTTTAACAGTGCACCTTAAAGGAGTAGTTCAATTTTAAAAAAACTTTTGCTGATAATTTACTCACCCCCATGTCATCCAAGATGTGCACGTCTTTCTTTCTTCAGTCGAAATGAAATTAAGGTTTTTGATGAAAACATTCCAGGATTTTTCTCCATATAATGGACTTCAATGGGGTCCAAATGGTTCAAGATCCAAAAGACAGTTTCAGTGCAGCTTCAAAGGGCTTTAAACGATTCCAGACGATGAATAATCAAGCGAAACGATCACTCATTTAAAAAAAAAATAACAAAGTTTAAGTTTTATAAGCTCAAATGATCGCCTTGCTCTGTTCTGTGATGTGCGTTCGTGACTCTCCTGTTCGAACTCGTTCATCAAAATGAACAAATCTTTTCCCGAGTCAAGTCGTTCATTTCCTTAGTTGAATAAACCAATTGACATGAAAAAAGATTCGTTCATTTTAAAAAACGAGTTCGAACAGGAGAGTCACGAACGTGCATCACAGAACAGAGCAAGGCGAGCATTTGAGCTTATAAAACTTAAACTTTGTTATTTATTTATTAAATGAGTGATTGCTTCACATGATAAGACCCTTATTCATCGTATGGAATCATTTAAAGCCCTTTGAACAGTTTGCAGTAAAACTCACTTTTGGACCTTGAACCGTTTGGTCCCCATTGAAGTCCATTATATGGAGAAAAATCCTGGAATGTTTTAATCAAAAACCTTAATTTCTTTTCGACTGAAGAAAGAAAGACATGTACATCTTGGATGACATGGGGGCGAGTAAATTATCAGCAAAAGATTTTTTTTAAAGTGAACTACTCCTTTAATCAACATCCTAGGGTCAATCTCAGACCACAACAGAAAAAGGGAAAGTCGGCACTCACCGTTAAGCATTGCATATTCTCAGGGTTTGCTGAGTTGGAGACAGCAGCATGGTTTGCTGTAGCAGCTTCTGAGGAGATAAAAACAGGAGTCGAGGGCTGTCTCTCTTTTACACACATTTACACACACACACACTTGCTAAACAGAAAACTAACAAAGATGTGTATGGGGAAAGTTTCTCCAAGTTCCTCACGGTCAGAGACGTCCTCTGTCCCAGGCGAATCCTAAAATACTATGCGAGAGACGTAAGATAATTGAATAATTGTATATGACCGCTTGGTGAACCTGTGAACCTTAATCATATTTAAACAACTACTGCTTTGTTCACAGTCTCCATGCTACAGTAAGGCTTTCCTCTGTGTATCCTCACAAGCACAATTTTGGCTGTGTTATGTTTGTCCCCTTCAAAAATTGCTCTTAAGAAATGTTATATTTATTAAACATAAAAAACATAAAATTGTTAGTGTGTTTAGAAAAAAAAATGTCAATAAACTTTACAAAATGGCCTAGAAACAACCCTAGGTAATAGTAGTTATAGCAAATTGACAAGCTAGTAAGAGAGCACTCGACTGGTCGTTATCAGCCGATAATAGCTTTATATAGTTTGATCGATGGTCTCTATAAAGGAGGAGCGGAGACATCGCAACGACAGCAAGAAACTATAGGGCTGTGTCTCCAAATCAGCTAGATCAGAGATTATTAAAAGATCATGGGTGTTGGAACCATTGTATACGAGTGGCACAAGACCCACCCACTTTTGCCATCTCTAAATAAGCGCATTTGTCTGTTCGCTTTTCAGAGCGCCGTCAGTCAAATCCATTCCACTTGAGAGAAGCCCTAGTCAATTTAAAGGGATACTCCACTTTTTTTGGAAATAGGCTCATTTTACCACTCCCCCAGAGTTAAACAGTTGGGTTTTACCGTTTTCGAATGTATTCAGCCATATATATATATATATATATATATATATTTAGAAGAATATCAGTAACCAGACAGTTTCTGGTCTCATTGACTTCCATACAGTGTTGCCAGATTAAAAATTTCAAAGTATCGTACCAGAAGCTCAAAATTATCGTATTTGGAAGAAAATGAGCGTACACGAGTCAAACGGACAGAATCCAGCTATTTTTAAGACGTGAGGTTGACTGGATTGTTGGGGGGGGGGGGGGGTTATTGGGGGGTTAGTTGACTGGATTGTTGACGGGGGCGAGGGAGACGCACACACGCAAGGTCTCTCTACCATTCTCTCTCACCTTCATTTTCTCCTCACAATCATGATGTAGATCAACAGCTAGATCAATGAGTACAGTAGCGCTAATGACCTCCGATCACAAAAATCTGAAATTATCGTACATTACGGGATTTTTTTCATTATTGATCGTACATCGTACGATAATTATCGTACAAATACGATAATTATCGTACATCTGGCAACACTGCTTCCATAGTATATTTTTTTCCTACTATGGAAGTCGATGAGACCAGAAACAGTCTGGTTACTGATATTCTTCTAAATATCAGAAAATTGCCTGAATGGATCTGAAAACGGTAAAACCGTTATATTTGTCAACGAGCCGCAACTGATGAAAAAAGCCGCCCGTTGTCCCCTTCCAGTCAAATGTTGCATTGCGAACATCAATAATGACCAATAATAGTCAATAATAGGAAATGCCCATGTCATCAGCGGGATAATCCACGGATAGCTGTGCATTTAAAGGGATAGTTCACCCAAAAATGAAAATTCTGTCAGTATTTACTCACCCTCGTGTTGTTTCAACCCCGTAAGACCTTCGTTCATCTTCCGAACACAAATTAAGATATTTAAGATATTAAGATCGCTCCTGCATACTAGTCCATAGGCTTCTTGAGGGAATGACTCTTGCTGGCATCGAAAAGTCATTAAAGACATCGTTGAAATAGTACAAGTGACTACAGGGGCTCAATCTTAACTTTATCACACGACGAGAACACTTTTGTGCGCAAAAAAAACAACAAAAATAACAACTTTATTTCAACTATTTCAATTTCAACGATACTCATGACATCGAAACAACGTTGATTTTGCTCATCGAATTAACGTTGAACCAACGTCAGACGCGGCATTCTTCACAGCTAAATGAAAATCGAAAATTGGTTTGCTTTCATAACGTTGAAACAACGTTTATTTCAAGTTGATTTTCCGTTAGTTTTGAAAGAATGACGCGTCTGACGTTGGTTCAACGTTAATTCGATGAGCAAAACAATGTCAGATCAACGTTGTTTCGATGTCAGTTTGCTATCTGGGACACACCTTTGCGATGCTGTTTGCGAATGTTCGCTGGAACGATGGTTTCGGGAAACACGACTCGTTGAACTATGCTGATAACGACGGAACTTGCGACCATAGTTGGCTAACGATGCTTTCGGGAAACACCTCTGATTGGTTACAAGGTCGTTTGTGACGTCAGAAACACCAGCGATTTCAAAGCGTGTTTTTGAGACTGTCTTTGGTTCACTGCAGTTTTAAGGAGAAAATAAATACTCAGCAATGCTGTCGACTTATGAATTTACACATGGTTTGTCTTAAAGCATATTAAAAACACCATATAGACATATAAACAACATTAAAAACTTGATTTTCACCACAGGGGGACTTAAAATGTAAATGTATATTCAAAGTCGTTCCAATGTGTGCAAAATGCTGTATAAATAAACGTGACTTGACTTGATTTTTTATTGTCACTTGGAAAAATAATCTTTTTATGAGCTCCACCAAGTCATAATTGTTATGTAACTTCGTCGGCTCCAGGCACTGACGGACCAAACGCACAAATCTTATTGGTTGGCCAGTGTTTAAATGTTGATCTGAACAGACACTTTAACTCAAAATGGTTATCGTCACACTGCATTTTCATGAGGATGAACATTAAACTTGATGTGAACAGGCGTTTACTCTCACACAAACCATTTTTGATTGTTTAATAAGATTTAATTTCATTTTAATAAGATATCTTAAGAACGTTGGCTGCTTCTCAACTTCAGGTTTAATATCCTGACCCACACATTCACTCCCTGTGTGCAACCATTATGCAATCTACCCACACTAAAAAATGCATTAAAGAGTAGCATGGCCCACTTCTGCTTAGAAGGGTATCAACAATTTAAAAACGCTTAGGTAACTTGAGCGAAAAATCAGAGCGAGACAAACCGAGACAGATGGTTATTAAAGCATTAATGTTAATCCATCACTGACATACTGGCATACAACCCAGCCACGGAGATAATGTTTCAATTAATTCACCCAAGGGAACAATAACATCACATGAAAATAAATGTCTCGTTAATCTAGACTCCAAAGGAAAAGAAACACACATCGGAGAGACGAGGACAGATCCCTCACCTGATCACTGATGTTCAGACAGATGTTGAGCGTGTGGGAGTTATTCCCTCAAACTCAGTTTCAGCAGAAATGATGTTGCTGCTGTTTCTCTCAGCGAACGCTTCAGCATGTGTGTGTGTGTGTAAGTATGATTCTTGATGTTTGCCTTCTTCCATTCTCTCTCTCTCTCTATCGCTCTCTCTCTCTCTCCCCATGTATGTAGTCCCGCCCCTTTTCAGAGCTGCACTTGTTGTGCTCTGTCTTTCGGTTTGTATTTCCACAGCATGAATGTAAGATCTTACAGATTTATGAATGAACCGCTCGTTCATGAATTCAGACATTACAATGCACATGATAACTTACGTTAACTCTACAATAGAGCTACCGCAAAAACAGAAGTTTCAAACACAATAATCTAAAAATGGCTGAATGCTTGTTTCTCTGGCACATGTTAATCCTCCTCTCTCTCTCTCTAGTCCTTACTCCAAATAATTATATGATCGGTAGGCCAAAGTCATGGAAATTCATATTTTTACACTAACTCGTCAAAATAATTTGTCATTTCACCTTTTTTATTAGTTAAAGGAGATTCAACTCGATTTTTTTAACACGGTTTAATGAAAGTTTAAATGTATGGAAGCATATTGCATTCACTTGAGGAAACAAAATTTACTCTGTTTTTCTGAATTAACGAGTTAATTATCTCAGAATTGCGAGACAATTTTTCATGGAAAAAAGTTTTTGCTCTTTTTTTCTGAATTAACGAGTTAATTATCTCAGAATTGCGAGATAATTTTTCATGGAAAAAGTTTTTGCTCTTTTTTTCTGAATTAACGAGTTAATTATCTCAGAATTGCGAGATAATTTTTCATGGAAAAAAGTTTTTGCTCTTTTTTTCTGAATTAACGAGTTAATTATCTCAGAATTGCGAGACAATTTTTCATGGAAAAAAGTTTTTGCTCTTTTTTTCTGAATTAACGAGTTAATTATCTCAGAATTGCGAGATAATTTTTCATGGAAAAAAGTTTTTGCTCTTTTTTTCCGAATTAACGAGTTAATTATCTCAGAATTACAAGATAATTGTTCATGAAAAAACAGAGTAAAAAAAATGTTTTCAAGAAAAATATATCTCATAATTCTGAGATAATTAACTCGTCAATTCAGAAAAACAGAGTATTTTTTTTCTTTAAGGTAATGCAATACTCTTCCGTATGATCCAATGTTATTTTACTTTTATTTTAGTTTAATATTTTGAATTAGATTGTATTTTATATTTTCAGTTTTCATGCAAATTGTAGTTGTGTCATTTTACTAGTATTTAGTGTTTTTTATTATTTAGGTTTCATTTATTTTTATTTTAGCTTTTATTTATTACCATTTCCATCTTAACTTATATTTATATATTTTTTCATCATATATTTCAGTTTTATTTCAATGAACATACATGTTTAATAGTGTTAATAATCCTGGTGTTATCAGAACAGTTGGAGAGAGTTTTCTTTTTTCTTTGTTATAATGAGACTATTTTTAATGTTTTGCTTTGTTGTCGAAGGCATGATGCATGCTTCAATCTAATCTAATTATTCTGCATCTGCAAGTCAAATAACAAACAGCTAACAAATGTAAGTGACTCTTTTGATAAGCCTCCACAGAATGAGAGTGAAAGATGATTCATTTTATGCACATCAGTGGGTCAGGAAGAATGAATCATGAATCATCAGTGTGTAACGATTTAATGACAACTCGAGTTGTGTCAAATAAACAGAAGGAAAAAAAATATATAATTCAATTTTTGTTTGGACATTTCTAATTCTTATTCACTAACCCCAACTACATTTATAGCTCTAAAATATTCTACAGCAATAAACCTCCTGATCAGAACTGTTTTGTGCCAAACTGATTTGATCCCATGGACAATAATCGTCTGTAGAAGCATCTTAACAGAGCGGACAGATATATCTGCAGGCGAGGGGGAGGGAGAGAGAGGGCGAGAGAGAGAGGGGGGGGTGGACTGACAGAAAACAGAAGATAATAGAAGAGAGGAAGACGCAGGAGGTCGAATGGGTAACTGTTGGAGTCTCTCTGTGATCCCTCATATAATCTGCTAATTAGTCAATTAAGCCAATTAAATATTCATTCAGCCAGACGCAAGCTCCAACATAATCGCTCAACTCAACCCACTCATTCACAGAAGAATATAACACTGAACATTTATATAAAAACAGACCTGCCAGTTATTCATTCAACTTATGATTACTCACCAGCCCTGGATTCATAAATCTGTACGATCTTACATTCATGCTGTGAAAATACAAGTCAGAACACGACGAGAACGTTTAATCGTTTAGCAGACGCTTTTGTATAGCGACTTACAACAGAAGCGATCAAATCAACAATAGAGCAACAGTATGTAAGTTGATGATCATTCATGGCCTATAGAGGGCGCAACACGATAAGAAAGGCCACTTTTATTAGAGATGCACCGATGTGAACATTTTGGCCGATACCGATAATGATAATTCTTTATATTTGAAAGCCGATAACCGATATATCGGCCGATAAATCGAAATCCAATTTTTATATAATTGTGGAGAGCCTGATTACAAAAACAAAAGTCTATCAATTAAAAGCCATTTCCCAATCACACAATTATAATGTTCTCGTAGCCGATATGACAGCACATTTTGCACTAAACCAGGGGTGCCCAAACTTTTTCCTACGAAGGGCCAAAAAATCAAACTTGATTGTGGGCCGTGGGCCAAAAGTAAATTTTGCATCATAAATCAAACGGTATTACATTAAAGTTGCTATGGGTTTATTTGTTTTATAATATTTAAAATAAATATAAAACAATGTCAATCTGATTAACTAATGCAGTTTTATTTGTAAAGTTTTGCATTTTAAAGAAATCCCCTCTCCCCGGACAGTATGGCGGGCCAAATCAAAGGATACCACGGGCCAACTTTGGCCCGCGGGCCCTAGTTTGGGCATCTCTGCACTAAACTATATTTTCCTTTGATTCGAATCATATTTCAAGCAATTAAGATCAATCATGTTGAACAGTGCGCATCTTAAGTGTCTTTCATTATTTATCAGCTTTAAAACATCAGCCAAATTTTATTATCGGGCCGATAACGATAACATAAAAATGAACAAATATCGGCTAACTTTTATACTCCGTTTAATTTAAAATGACAAATAAATGCATTCTCAAAGAGCGCTCCACAATATTTATACAATCTGGATGCTCAAAAATTGATCGAGTGATCGATACCACTTATTGTAGTAGTAAGTAATCGTCGCTCTTAAAGGAGTAGTTCACTTTAAAAAAAACTTTTGCTGATAATTTACTCACCCCCATGTCATCCAAGATGTCCAAGTCTTTCTTTCTTCAGTCGAAAAGAAATTAAGGTTTTTGATGAAAACATTCCAGGATTTTTCTCCATATAATGGACTTCAATGGGAACCAAACGGTTCAAGATCCAAAAGACAGTTTCAGTGCAAACTACAAACTGTTCAAAGAGCTTTAAATGATTCCAGATGATGAATAAGGGTCTTATCAAGCGAAATGATCGCTCATTTAATAAATAAATAACAAAGTTTAAGTTTTATAAACACAAATGCTCGCCTTGCTCTGTTCTGTGACGCACGTTCGTGACTCTCCTGTTCGAACTCGTTCATCAAAATGAACGAATCTTTTTTCGAATCATTTGGTTCATTGAACGAACAAAACAAAGGAATTGACTCGGAAAAAGATGGCCGACTTTTTAGAAACCAGACTGGTTGTTGTCCATGAGGTCGTCCTGCTATAATTAAACCCTTCTGTTTCACGAAGCTTTGAATCATTTACTAATCTTTTCTTTCAAATGAGTCGTTCAGAGCTTGTATCAAACTCACCAACTCACATGATCTCACAGACATTCCTAGTAGATATTTCACAAAGTCATGTACATGTGGCTGTTATTTAAAACATCCATCATTTTCAGTTTCAGGATATTAGTTTCAGTGTAATATTTGGTCACAAAGCCTATAGACTGTTTTATATGGTTTGCACAACAGTTACGTTCAAAATATCCACTCTCTCTTAATTTTATCAGTTCTTTTTTTTAAGTTACAAATATTGTTTTAATTTTACATTTAAGTCACTTCAACTCAAGTATAGATTATCTGTGTTTTTTATACTCCTATATATTTATGTTATCTGTGAGACTGGCTTTTTAAAGTTTCTCATTGTTATCCAGACACATATTTGTCCATCCACAGAGATTGCCATCAGAACATCACGTCCCATCATTATTACGAATATTCTTTTAAACTCTGGCTTTAGGCAAGAACAGAAAAGTCTCTTGCGTCATTCCACAGATGTGAGTTACTTTGTATTGTATGCTGGTTTAATGGAAAAACAAGCAAGTTCAAGAATTATTCAGTTTCATGAAGTCATGAATTTAAAATCTGTTCTGCAATAATAATAACATTAAACCATATGGAAAAGTACTGGAAGTTTATTCATCTTTATAAATCTTTTTTGATGCCTCTAAAGATCAAGATGACTGGGCTCTAAAGGAAAATATTTAACATACTAATTTAGTATACTAAATTCAAGTGTGTTAAAGATTAGTTAACTTGAAGTGTGCTATTTTGAAACAAACAATTTTGTACTACGTGTATTTTAGTTGTAATTAACTTAAAGCATAACTTTTAAGTTTATTTAGAGTACTTAAATTGGAACAACTGCAATTATACTTACACTTTAAGTATATGCCAGCTTATTTAGCGATTTTAAAGTGTACTTTATTTGTGTTACATGGTGCATTTCAAATTAATTACAAGTGTCTTTGAAACATACACTGTCAGAAAAAGAGGTACAGTGGGAGTCCATTTCAAGGTACAATCTACACTAATGTACCCCATAGGGCTTATTAGTGGACCTTAATGTATATGTTCCCAAGCATTAAAAGGTAAATATATGTACCCTTTCTTTTAAAGGTTAACAATGTAAAAACTCCAGTGTTAAACGAACTCTTCTGTGTTCAAGTGTGATAAAGATAATGAGCTAATTAACCCTCTGGGGTTGTTCGTTTCAGAGTCAAACTCGGGGTGTTCAGGTCCAAATGGACCCAAAAAGCCGGATTCATTTTTTTTTTTTTTTAAATCATGATTTTTTATAATAT